AAATTTTTTAAAACATTCGATTTTTTTTTTGAAAATTTTGATATATATATATATATATATATATATATATTATGGAAAATTTTGATATATTTTGAAATTTTTGTAAAAAAATCCATTCGTTGATATTTTTTGAAAATTTTCAAAATAAGGATTTTTTTAATGAATTTTGAACTTTTGATTTTTTTTTTCAATTTTGAAAAGTACGAAATTTTTTGTAAAAGCAATTTTCACACTGTCTACACAAGCAAAATATTTTTCGAATCATTCTAATCAGATGATTTGTTTTCTCAAAAACTGCATGTTCATTTTTACACCATTTGCACTCCATACTTCCAGAATGGCTAGACGTGCCTTTCGCAAAAACGTCTCGAGGCTAGTACGAACCGAATGTTTTTTTGATCATTCAAACCGCTCTCTCAGAAACTGAATTGCCATTTTTGTCACTTTTTCCCTGTATCTTCAAAACGGTTGGACCTGCCTTTGCCAAAAACTAATCTCCTTATCAATAGAAATAGAATGTGTTTTGAATTATGCAAATCGGTTGATTCGTGTTTCAAAAATCGTTGACGAAAATTTGTATCCGCACACACACATACATTAATTTTACTAAGGTTTGCCAAAATGTTCAGAAACCGTTGAAGCGTAAAAATATACAAAAAATTCGTTTTAGATTTTTTGCCATTACTATAACTTACCCTACGGGAAATTGTTAAATATATACAAATGTAATAATTTTTCAAGTACGTGTATTGATTTAATAAATAGTTAATTTAATTTTTCAGAAAGAAAAATTAAAAGCTTTAGTACTTCTAAGATAAAATTACATGAAATGTCAAATTTATTTGTACACTTTCAAAACAGAATGTTTTTATATAAACACTTTTATAAAAGCTGGATACTTTGAGAACAGAGTTCTTTTAAGACTATATGTATATACTTTGTTTAAAAAATATTATAGTACATTGAGAAGTGTTTTTTATGAGATCTAATATATTTTGTTTTAAAATCAATATTGTAAAAAAATATTTAATTTCAAAAATTAGCTTTAAACCCAGTACTCTCCTAATGCTGGCAGCGCTCCTTAAATTCGACAGCCCTTGACAGCCCTAGTACGTAGAGTAAGTCCTCAAGGGAAATCAATTAGATTGTTGTCTTTTGCCATCGTGTTGTGTACCAAACGATACCCGAGGACAATTGTTACTGAATGGAAATAGAGTCATTATGCACGAGCCCCTGAACTGGGCTTTAGAATTAAACAAAATAGACCAAAAGCATTTTCAAATTGATCCATTCAAAACTGGAGGCGAATATTGAAATTATAATTTATTGTATCTGAGTTTTTGTGGGGTGTGATGGTATCGACTTAAAATCGCAAGAAAAATATTTTTTACATATCTACCATTTTAATACATTCTTATTATTTCAGAAAATCTTAGGAAAATTTATGTATACATTTGGATCTGCCACGCTTTTGAAAAAATGTTACAGGTTTATTTGGATCTAAAATATTAAATTCAAATTTTAATTTAATTTTATTAATATAATATTTAAGAATTAAAAAAAATAGTTTCATCTAATTTGTCCAAGGTATAATAGTTTAAATTTAATTGTAAGTCGCTATCTGTTTTTCGATGGAGTGACATTATTGTACAAGTCAGCTGCAGCCCAAATATTTTTTTCATTTTAACATCCCGAAGAAGTAAGTTTGTTTTCATAAAAAAACTGATTCGCTAATTTTATGTTTTCTCGACGTTTCAAGTCATTCTAAATCGAATGAGACCACATTTGGAAAAAGTATGTGTGTGTGTTTATACGAAAAGATTTTTTGCCGTAAATCGACGTTTTCTCAAAAACAGATTTCAAAAATTTCTCGATGAGGATTATCGTTTGTCAGTTTTGTGCGACAATCTGCCGAGCCGTTTCTTTGTAATTTGCAAAAAAATGTTGAACTTTTTATCCACATTTAAGCTCATACTACCGAATCTACCGAAAAAAACAAAAACTGTTCGAAGATATTATTTTAGGAATGATACTGATTAGGTGAAAATCTACCGAGCCGTTGAAACCTTACCTTACCTTACCTGTTGAAAAAAAATTTAAGCCGATTTTTTATGGAACTTTTTTGGCGATATATATCACGGTCTTATAGAACTTACTGAAATATTACGGCCTTACGACAAGTAGATTAATTTTAAAAATTCAAAGTTGGAGAAAATGAGTAGTTTTTTTGACGTTTGTTAAAATTAAAATTAGACGATTTGAATTATTGATTTTTGAAAATTAGCTTGTAAAAAATACTGCGAGTTAACTTCTTCGTTTGTTTTCAATTGTGTGTGATAAATCCACTCGGAATACTTTTAATCACTCATACATTTTTTTTTTTATTTATTAAGTCGATTATTTACACATATCGGGAAGTTCATGTAACTTGCATCAAGGCAAAATATCAATACCAACTATTTCTGATTTTGATTTCAAGATGTGCTATAAAATATTTTTATTATGTTATAATTGAATATGTACAAAAGTTTGATATAGTATTTGCTATAATTAATCACGACATATTATGGCATAAAATATGAAAATATATAGAACGTTCCCAATGGAATAATGGAAAAGCATTAATTCAAATATTTTGCTCAGAGCTATATATTGTTTTTGGTTGGTAGCAATAATTAATTATACAAAGGTATTAAAAACATGGCTTATAATATTTGAGTGGTACATAATCAATTAAAATAAAGGTTTTTTCCATGTAGGGTACAATGTATTCCAATTAAAATTCTTATTTTTTATATAATTGTACAGCGAAACACAATTGCTCTTGTAAATTAAATACAAATCAAGGGAGGCATGCACTTTATATATATATATATATATATATATATATATATATTTTATATATATATATATATATATACATATATATATATATAAATATATGTATATATGTACTCTTGCCTTTCTGTAATTATTCCATAATAAATTTATTTTGACGCAAGATTAAAATATAAAATGATTAATTAGAACATTTTGTTTTGCATGGAATACTTGAGAGACGGTTGACCCCTCGACGATCAAAGATAATATGTTGTGCATCACTGCTATAATTTAATAAACAATTTAATAGTACGTTGGGCATCTAAGAAGTTCTGGTAAATTCTGTTGTCTGATGGATTATACATGATGAGAAATAGAGAAGTTTAGTTTGGAGTGCAGTAAATTTTGATAAATCAGCATTATAATACTTGAACAAACCTTCTGGAAAGATTTTTTCGTTAGGTTTAACTAAGAATTTTTAGTTAGAGATTAAAATTAATAAAATATAAAAGACAATAGTCTGCTGTGAAGCCCAAAATATAATACAAAATGTAGACTTCTAACCATTTTTTAAAATTAAGTCTTCTACGAATGATGATGTATTTCTGAATATTTTACGTAATAAAAGTAATTTTAAAAATGTATTTATATGTGACATACACACACACACACACATATATATATATATATATATATATATATATATATAAATTATAAAGCACCATGGTGCACTCAAGAAGAAATACAATGAATTATAATTATACACTTGCATTCATGCATTAATTACAATATAATTGTTATTTCTTATTGTGCACTCAATCAATTATCAAGAAACTTGAAAAGATGTTATTTCCAATATTATAATTAACGGCAAGTCCATATCAAAATATCTTGCACCGTCAATTATTTAAACATATTTGAATTGAAAGAGAATCTAATTCACGATTTGTATGGCAAACAAGGGGCTTATTGTAACAGGGGTAAGTTGTAACAGGGGTAAGTTGTGACAGGGGTAAGTTGTGACAGGGGTAAGTAGTAACATCTTGAACGTTAATAAATCATTTTTTTGACTCTATTGGACATGTATACTGTCCTGCATAATATTATCATAGCTACTCTTCCGCAGGCAAATTTAGTAAAGAGAATTGTGCAGGTGCGTCATTTTTGACAGGTAATACAAAACTCTGTCATTAAATTTCGGTGTGCGTCACTATTATCGATTAATTTTAAATTTTATATATCTTATTTTGTTTCAAATTTTCAATGATCAATTTCTGTGATTGGTAAATTGTTTAAATAGTTATCTTGATTAATGTAAAAAAATCACACCTGGGGTCAGCTGAAACAAAACCTTGGGGCTAGTTGTAACATATAAAAATTGTATACAGATTCAAGTGAAAACGATAGAATGTAATGAAGAATAGTATAGTTATAGAATAATAGAATAGTTTGTAAGATGTGGTACATATAAATTGTGTTACATGCGATACTATATATTTAATTTGTTTTATTTATAGTTTACGTTAATGTATGAGAAAAATTACTTAGAAACATGTGAATTTAAAAATAAAAATTAGTAGAGAATAAATTATCAAAGGTATTATTGTCGTTACTACTTGCCCTGGTAAATGTTACAATTAGCCCCAAGCACGGGGTAAATTGTAGCACCGCACATTTTCTAGAAAATGATTATTTGTGAGATAATGAACAATAGTTTTGGAATTATTTTTACTTTATTTGGTAGAGAACTAGTTAAAGCAACTATCTAGCTTTCTTTTATAAAAATATAATCAGCATTTGTAAATAAGAAACTGTTATAACAAGCCCCTAGCTCTTTACTACTATGTATTGTAATGTATTTAATTAACGTACTAACGTCACAACGTAAAAATTATTTAAATATCAAAATATGAGAGCAAAAATGTAAAATCAATACCATTTTGTTTACAAATTATTATTCTTCAGCTCTAATTATAAAATAAGTTTTCACAAGAAAAACAATGAAAAACATTCTGCAAAGTTTCCAAAGTAAACCAGACTCCCCTCTATGGGGACCGACAGATTCAATAATGTTTGCTAATTGAATATTAATGTCAAGAGTCATCACGTGGCTAATGTTAATTTCTGGAAATGTATGTATGCGAAATACAAGGGAATATATGTCGAGTGGTAGTACTAACCTGTGCATTTATAGCTGCCAGGTGTAATTGCTTGGAGCGGAGATCGAATGCCTTGGCGGAAAGTGCTTCCTGGATCTCGTTTACTTTATTGAAAAGCTGCGACTCTAAAGCTCGACTTTGGGTTCGAATTAATGCATCGACGCCGTCCTGAAAAATAAGAGACAAAAATTAATTACTCAAAATGTTTGAATGATTTTAATGAAATCCAGTTATAACATGTTCAAAATTTACTGTTTGCAGATTTGTAGGTCATATACAGTCAACCCTCCGTTAACACGGCATTCTGGGTACACGGTTCCCATACAACACGGGGGTATAAATCCGACATCCTTGCGACTACACGGACTTCCTATTATACAGTTTTTGTTCAACAGCCCATAATTTCCTTGCGCAACCTATGAGTGATTCTAGGAACTTGGTGTCAAGCAATAATGTAAGTTTTGTCAACTATGTCAACTTTTATCTTTTAGACATACGTGATTATATAATAGCTGTCTAAGAACTCGTTTAAACTGACTACTGCGTCGCGTCAATTGTTGAATAAGGTTTCTATGTCGTACATGCCATTTTGTCCGTACAACTCCGACTTCAAGTTGTATTTCTTGGTCTCCATACAGCACGATAAAAATGGTGCCATTCGTACTAACTCTGAGTCTCTCATAGCGCGGTTCCCATACTGCACTATATAAGTTTCCATAGAACGCACTGCGAATTAGTCTGAATTGTTGCCGCGTTAACCGAGAGTTGACTGTATTAGGATGGATTCATCTTTTTGTTAAAAATTCTTATTTATTAACTTCCCGTAGGGAAAGTTATACTAATTGCAAAAAAAATCTAAAATGAGAATTGTTGCATATCTTCACGTTTCAAAGGTTTCTGAACATTTTGGCATACCTTAAAAAATGGATGTCGTGTGTGTGTGTGTGTGTTTGTGCGGATACAAATTTTCGTTGACGATTTCGTAAACACGAATCAACCGATTTGAATTACCAGTGGTGCATGGCACATGATGCCCTAAGGCAAATTGCTGCAATTTTCCGTATCACAAATTACAATTTTTAAAAGCACAGAAATGAAATTGTTTTTTTTATAGAATGTTGAATTTTTTTTAACATTTGTGACAATTTTGAAAACATTTGAAAAATTTAAATATTGATTTTTTTAAATTGCTTTTTTCAAAATGCTGATCTTTTACACTTAGATTTTTTTAAGAACTGAATGTTTTCGATTTTTGTTAATTATTGACAATTCTGAAATTTCTTGAAAGTTTTTGATACCCATTCATGTCGCTTGATCCAAGCAGTCAGAAATATCTGATTTTCGACCTGCTTTTGCAAAAATCAGTTCTTCATTAGTGGAAGTTGAATGATTTTTGTCAAAAACTAATCAGCACACCTCCCTATCAATATGAATCGAATGTTTTTTGTATCATTCAAATCGGTTAATCCGTGCGCTCGAAAACGTGGACAAAAAATTGTATCCATACATACATACATACATGCATACATACATACATACACACACACATTAATTTTTTCTGAGGTATGCGAAAATGTTCAGAAACCTTCAAAACGTGAAGAAATGCAATATTTTTCAATTTCGATTTTTGAACGATTACATTATCTTACTCTAACTTAATAATTCCATAATAATTCCATTACTTCTAAGTCCTTAAAATTCATTTGGTAACAAATGTTCATATTTTTATCAAACCAGCTTTAAAATTATCTTGTTTAACAAAATATGTTCTCATCTTTAATTATAAAAGTAGAGCACGTAAAAACTATCAACTATATAGTAACACCTATGATCACTTTTTCATAGCACTCTATAATTATAAATTAATCTTAACCAATCCTTTAACTAAGTAATGCAAATCCGTTATTACAAAACGATCAACATCTCCAAAGTTATTACGAATTAATCCTGCATAATAATACTGTGGTTTGGATATTAATTTGGCAAGGATAGAATGTATCGGGGATATTTGATTGCAAAACACACTATGTCTTACTTAATCATACTTGAGCCGCTTATCAATCATCTAATATTCAGCTTAACTTGTCAACCAACAAAGATGAGGTCGTGGACCTATTTCAAATTAAGACTTACTCCTACATACCGTTAATATGATAAATAATTTGTTTGCGAATAATAAAGGAGCCTAGATTTATTATTGAGTTAATCAAAATATTTAAGAAATTTATAGGAAATAATTGACCGACTTGTTAATAAGTAATCTAAATACACGTAAAATAAGAGATAATATAGTACATAAGTGCATAGTATCGTGTCTGAAGGCAAATTTGAAAGCTTTTAATAATCTTTATTACTAATATATTTATTAATTTTAAATTTATCAAGATTAATTCATATGATATAGTGCTATGAATATGTAGTATTATTAACTTCTCGTAGGGCAAGTTATAGTAATCGCAAAAAAATCGAAAATAATTTTTTTTATATATCTTTACGTTTCAAAGGTTTCTGAATATTTTGTCATACCTTAGAGAAAATTGATGTATGTATGTGTGTGTGTGTGTCTGCGGATACAAATTTTCGTCGACGATTTCGGGAACACCGATCATCCGATTTGAATAATTCAAAAAACATTCGATTCGTATTGATAAGCAGCTGAGCTATTAGTTTTTGGCGAAGGCAGGTCTAGCCGTTCCTAAGATATGGGGCAAAAAGTGCCCAAAACGATAACTCAGTTTTTAGGAGAACGAAGCGTCCGATTTTATTAATTCAAAAAACATTTTACTTATATTGACGTCATGAACTGGTAAAATTTTTGAGAAGGCAGGTGCAGCGGTTATGAACTCTCAATAAAAGTAATTTCATTAAAAAAGTGTCATTTGGCGGTCAAAAATGTTTATTGGACTTTAATATGTACATCAAATTATCAAATAATTTATTGAGATTTTAATATTGTGTATACATTTTGTGTAATTTTTTTTTTTGGGTTCCGTAACAAGATTTTTAATTTTGAAGTTTATTTATATGGTTCAAACAAATGTCATCGACATTTTCGACAGTATGGAATAACCGATTTATAAAATTGAAAAATCATTCGGTTCGTACTCGATCGCGAGACGTTTTTGCAAAAGGCAATTTTGCCGTTTTGAAGGTATGGAGTGCAATGGGTGTAAAAACGGTTATGCAGTTTTTGAAAGAACGGATCATCCGATTTGGTTAATTCGAAAAACATTTTGCTTGATTAGACGGTGTGCAAGAAATGCATCTACAGAAAATTTAGTAATTTTAAATTTTTTTAAAAAATGAATTAAAATTTTCAAAGAAATTCAAAGTTTCAAAAAATTCAAATTTTCGAAATTTTTCATCAATTTCAAATAAAAACTAAATTTTGAAAAATTAGAAAAAATGATTTCTTAAGAAAATTTAAAAAAAAAAGTAGAATATTTTCAAAAATTTCCAAATTCTCAAAATATTTAGAAAAACCTTTTTTTTAATTCCAAAAAAATCAAACTTCTAAAAAGGTTTCAAAATTTTGAAAAAATTTCTAAATTATCAAAAAAATCTAATTTAAAAAAAGGACTTTTGTAAATGTACTCATAAGTTGTTCATGAAATGCACTTATAAGTTTACAGTATGTAATAAATAATCTATTTGAAATTATTCAAAACAATTTTTGATTATTTTCATTCCTCGAATGTCTGATTACGGTACGGGAAGTTCCAGCAATTTGCTTTAAGGCACGATGCCATGCGCCCCACTAGTTTTGCTATATAATTTATCTAAAATGCGCAGAAATAAAAATTAATTTGAACTACATTCCATCATATGAGCACTAGATGATGATACACATCTGGTCGTAAAGCTATTATGTCTAAAAAATACATCAGAAAGTCTAATATATCAAAATGCACATTTCGTATTAAACGTGAGAGGAGCTTAAAGCTTTTAAGAGATTACTCCACGAACAAAAATTATTTGGTGTGAAATCATCGGGTTAGCGTTCCCCGTGAAGGAATGTCAACGTTACGGTTATGATTTTGCGAGCTTTCTGCTAAATCATCTGTGTTTAGGCTGCTCGTATACGTAAAATAGGATCTGGAGATATTTCACGGTGACATTTTAAAATATTAAATTATATATGTAAATAAAAATATACTACTAAACGTTTCTTCAACAGACGACATTACTCGTTTCGAGTAATTCGCAGGATGAACAGAACAAATTATAAACTGGTGGTGTATGACATTGCGCCTTAAGGAAAATTGCTAGAACTTCCCGTACCAAAAATTATTTTTTTTGAAAAAGATTAATTTTTTTTTTTAAACTTTGAAAAAATTAGATTTTTGAGGAATTTTATATTAAAAAAAAAATTATTTTTGGATACAAAACTTTTGGATTTTTTTTATTTTGAAATATTCTGGAAATTTTGAACTTTTTCTAATTGTAAGCAATCGCACTGCTTTAGCTGCATAGAAACAAAATTTAGAAGCGCGTATGCGCCGCGTCGCCGACTAACGGACAAACAACGTTACGGAACCTATAGAAATGTGAACAAAATTGATACCTATTATTAAAATCTCCATAAAATATCTGATAATTTGACGTCCATATATCTAATGACTCATTTTTGACCGCCAAATGTATATTTTTTTACACCTTTTTACACAATTTTTTTCACTCGATCTCCGAAACCGCTGGACCTGCCTTTCCAAAAATTTAATCAGTTACTTTATCAAGTAATTTTTTTTTTTTAATTATTGAAATCAGACGCTCCCTTCTTTCAAAAACTGAATTACCATTTTTGACACTTTTCGCCAGTATTTTTTTCCAAGATTTTGACACTTTTTTGGAATTTTTGAAAAAAAAAAAACGATTTTTTTTAATTAATTGAGATTTTGAAAATGTTTAAAGATATTCAACTTTTTTTTGAAAATTTTGATATTTTTGAAAATTTCGAAATATTTACCATTTACCATCTTGATGAAAACGAATCGAATGTTTTTTGAATTATTCTAATCGTTGATCCGAGTTTTGAAAAACATCGACAAAATTGCGGATCCGCACATACACACGTACACACACATACATCCATTTTTTCTTAGGTATGCCAAAATGTTAATAATCTTTTAACACGTAAATTTATGCTAAAATTTTTATATTCGATATTT